AGTCTGTCTCTTCTGATTGGTGAATTGAGACTGTCTACATTGATGGTTATAACATATGCATTGGCTTGGTATTATTTTCCTGCTGATGGTTCAGTGTCTTTCTCCTCTGTTTAATTGCTTGCTCTGTCTGGTAGCTTCTTTCTGTCGATACTCTTGGAAATGTGGGCTTTGTTTTTTCTTTCTAGAATATCTTCCAGAATAGTTGGTAGAGCTGGTTTAGTGGTCATAAATTTCTTTATTTCTTTGTTATGGAAGTACCTTTATTTCTCCATTGATTTTTGAAAGATAGTTTTGCAGTTGCCTCAGTCTGGGTTGGAGGTTGTTTTCTTTTAGAGCTTGAGATACTTCACTGCAAACTCTCCTTGACTTGAGGGTTTGTGTTGAGAAGTGTGCTGTGATTCTAGTGGGTTTACTTTATAGTGATTTGTTTCTTTTCTCTGACTGCTTTTAATATTCTGTTCTCATGCTGTATTTCTGGAATCTTGATTATTGTATGCCTTGGTTTAGATTTATTTTGGTCATAGCTACTTGGAGTTCTGTATGCCTCACTTACTATAGGTCAAATTCTTTATCCATGTTTTGAAAGTTTTCTGCCATTACTTCTGTGAAGAGGGTTTTTGGGGCATTTGTACTTTCTCCAGCTTTTTCATTTACTCCAGTCAGTCTTGCATTCTCCTGTGCTTCATCTTGCAGCTATTAGATTGATTTTTCATGGTCCCTTGCTATTTTTAAGATATTTTTCTTTTCATGGTGGCTAACTGCAATTCTGCCTTCCAGATCTGATATTCTCTCTTTACCTTTGTTCAATCTATTGCATATACTTTTAATGGAATTTTTAATTTTGTGGTTGTCTGTCTGGATCTGTTTCATAGCTTCCATTTCTTTCCTATGTTGGTCATTCTTCATGGTTTCCATCCTTTTTAACAGTCTACTCTAGATTGTTTGGCTTCTCATTCATTTTGATCATCATTTTTTTTAACCTGGGGTATTATTTTATCTATAGTCATATCATTTGTTTTTTCACCTCTGCTGTTACCATTTCAGAAACATCCAGTATGTGGCTTTTGAGTTCCTCTATTTCATTGTACTGTGGACTTGACCTGGATGGGCTGGAGGTCTGGGGTTCCATTTTGGTTTTGTGCCTTGTCACTTTCTTTGTTGGTGCTTATAGATTTCTTTAGGTAGATAGCTTTATCCCTTGTATTGAGGTTTTTCTTAGGAAATACCTGTTGCTTGGAGATGTCTTGTAGGTGTGGGTGGTCTACCCCAAGAACCTACCTTCCCAGTTTCTTTTTTTTCCTTTTTTGTTTTGTTTTCTTTCCTTTTTTTTTTTCTTTGTCTTTCTGAGACAGGGTCTCACTATGTAGCTCAGACTGGTCTTGAACTCACTTTATAGCCCAGGCTGTCCTCAAACTCTTGGTGATCCTCCTGCCTCAGCCTTCCAAAGTCTGGAATTATAGGCATGTGCCACAATGCTTGGCCCCAGTTTATTAAGGTTGAGAAGTAGGTATTTATTTGGCTCAGGACCCCATCCTTTGGTATTGGACTGTGGTGATGGTTATTACCCCAGATAATCACAGTGTTGTCATATGAGGGAGAAAAGATGATTATAACATGTGTGACATCCTGGCTAAGGTAGTACAGTTAGCAATAACAATATCAACAAGTGCTGCCAACAGGCAACTGACAAACTGTAGTAACTATTATTTTGGTACCTTTAACCATAGGAGCAAGCTCTACAGTTATATGGCAAAATCCTACATACACTGGAAGCTTGTATGCAGTGAGTTTCCCCTTGGTAGATTGATTTTACCTTGTTTGGTATTTAAGAGGGGTAGGGGAAAAAACAGATAAATGAGGAGAAATATAGTAGGAGCAAGGGTGTTTGGCTAAGGATGTTCACACAAGTTTTGGGAGGCTGGAGAAGAGTGCAGAAGAGAAAGAATAAGAGAGAAAGCACAAGAATTTTGATGCAAACCAGAAAGAGAAGAATGCTCATTCACATGAAAGTATCATAAAATCAAGAGAGACAGTTGAGGGAAGAGAGAAAGAATAAATCTAATTAGGAAAAGAACCAAAAACAAACCAAAACACAACCCCGCCCCTGAAAAAATTTAAAAACCAGCCCCAATCATCCTGAAAAACAAAAACCAATTAGAGAAAAAAGGGAAATACTAAAATTCCTCTGGTGTCCACCATTCTGTAGTAGTGTCCAAGCCAGATCCCAGAAATGTGATGTGTACCCCACCAACTTTGCAGTAGGGTTTCTGCTGTGTGAGGGGTTGATCTTGGCCTCTGGATGTGGGGGCTGGGACTGCTCTTCAGCTGACCACATCAGGATGGCTACTCTCCTCTACCGAGTTTGTCTGTATGGCGCTCTTGTGGGTGTTGGGCCGTGGCACTCTCAGGTAGGGAGAGCCCGAGGTTTTGTCCAGATCCATGTACAGTTGGCTCCTTCTAGACCTTGCCCAGCTTCCTCTGCTGCACACCACCAGCTCCGCTTACCCACTGGTCACTGGGTTGGGGACTGCCCTGTTCTGCCACGTGACAAGGCTGTTTGCCTGTGTGGGCCACTGTGTCAGGGCCGCTGTGCAGGTCCCAGACGAGAAGGGCGTTTCTGGTCCTCTGTATTGAAGACTAAGAGTGGCTTTTGGCAGCCACCTGAACAGAGCCTGGTTGGACCCAGCTCTTACCTCTCAGCAGATTTCCCCTAGCCTGCTTCCCAGCTGCCAGCAGTCCACTGTGACTGGATGGCTCTTCCCTTAGTGCAGTCCAGGGCTTTGGCAGTAAAGCGACCCGGGCCTGTTCTGCTGCTCAGGTTTGCCCTCACACCTTAGGAGCGAAACAGCGGCCCCTCCCTCCCATTTCTGTTCCACAGCACTGTGTGTCAGCTCACTCACCAACTGCTGGCTTCGTTGGGCCCTTTGAGATACAGTGTCCTGGCGGTGGCCACAGCACACTTCCTGCTCACAGCACATTCGTTAATGCAGAAATTTTGTCCCAGTTCTCATCATGCAAGGTAGAACTTGTCAGGGTGGTTGGGTTCGTGAGCAGCCGCCCATTGTAGGCAAAACCATTTGTTCAGTACTTGTTTTTGGTACTCATCACATCTCCAGGAACCGGTTAACAAATACCAGAATACCACTGTGTTCAGATTTCATGTACCTCGTAGCTGGGTTTGCAGATACCTTGTGGCTGGGTTTTCAAACAGATACTAGGACTGAACTCTTAAATCTAGAATGGTTTATTTCCCACCCCTCTTTCTTACGGCTTCAACGTATTAAAGAGGTGAAGTCTTTTCTGACAGAAAATAGTTTTTTGTTGTTTTCTAATAAATGTTACTGGTTTTATTCCTCTGTTGTGTTTTTTGTGAACTGTGAGTTAAATCTCAGGCATAGGATTTATGGACAGTATGAATACCACCTCAGCAAAGTGCATGAATTATTCTTTTCTGAATGGGTGTCGTTCTCATCACAGTAAAAATCATTATAGCCGGAAGAGTAAAGACCTTTGAAAATGTATCCAGGGAAGAAATTATGAGAATTTTGGCCTGAATACCTTCAGTATGAGGTATGAAAACAAGCAGCAGGGAAAATAGTGAGGTAGAATGAAAATTCGGAGTTGAATGCATTAAGAATGAGAAGTCTGGTTATGATACTCGATAGGAGGAATATGGAATTGTCTTCCAACATTTCAATGACAGGAATAGTGATAAAGGAAGAGATTTATTTAAGTGTTTAGAGCAGTTTCTCAGAACAGAAATCAAGACATCAACATTTTTTAAAATACGTACTTCAGTGTCATACCTAGAATCACAACACTTAGGAGGCTGGGGCAGGAAGATCACTGAATCACCATTAGCTCGAGACCAACCTGGCCTACATGTTAAGTTTAGGGCTGGCCTGAACAACATAGCAAGATCTTATCCCCTCCCCCGAAAGAAAATCCCTAATCCTTGGGAATATGCTTTTCAGTGCTTTTAGCTGATTCTTACGCATCATTGGTCCCATAAGAACTGACTTGGCTGGCCATAGAGAAGTCACAGAATTACAGTGTTTGGGTCTGTGCTTAAGAGAGCCGCCCCGTTACCCAACAGAGTCACCATTTGCTGATGGTAGAAATACGCTGAGGTATACTCCCACGTTGTTAACTTGCTGTAGTGTTACTTTTCTACCCAATTCTTACAGTCTAGAGTGCTTGCCATGTTAAGAAACCAAAATTTCAAACAGATTTTTAGGGGCGAGGGGTAAATGAGTAAAATTGGACTCTCAGTTGTCCAACCTATAAAGTGAAATGGAATAGATTAAAATTAGTTGTTGGAGAAGAAACTCTCTTATGAAATAAGCACTGTTTGCTGAGGCAGTGTTTTGTCCTGGCAGAGATACTTAAATTAAATGAGACAGTTCTGATGCTAACTCTCATCTCTTAATGTCTGCATAAGCCCTGGAAATCTTCCTTTGTTCCTCCTTCCTTCCCTCCCTCCCTTTGTGGTACTGGGGAATGAACCAAGGGCCTTCACACTGAAAACCCACATTCCCACATGTTTTTGTATTTTTAACTTTGAAACAGGGTCTCATAAAATTGCTATGTTGCCCAGGCTGGAGGATCCTCCTGTCTCAGCCTCCCAAAGTTGTAGGGTTATAAACATATGCCACTGTGCCTGGTTTAGGGTCTCTAATTTCTCAGGAGCAGAAAGACAACATTATTTAACATGCAGCGCATTGGCTAAAGAAAATAATTCCTGGTAGTTCCCTTTTTTCATCTTTTCCATCCCAGCCCAAATAATTTGAGATTTTCTTCAAGGTAGGCTAACTTTGATAATGGGAATTTTACACACATAACTATTTTGGAATGTAAAGGTCTTTTATCTGACAGATACAGATTTCATTGAATGTAGAAAAGATGCAAATGTTCTGTATCGTGTGTACATATAGACAGTATAATTTTAAAAATTAGCAATGTATGAAAAATGTTTTTTTCTGCTCCAAAAATGTTTTTAGTTCTGAGCCATCTGAAGATGAAGAGTCACAGGGCCTTCCGACCATGTCACGAAGAAATGAGGGTATTTCAGAATTGGAAGCCCTTTCAGAATTGGAAGATCTTAAAGATGCTAAACTTCAGACCTTGAAGGAACTTTTTCCACAAAGAAGTGATGCTGATTTACTTAAGGTTGTACCATTTATAATAATTAGTTGTAGCTGTACTGATGATAAAAGTCTCTCTTGAATCCTTCCTATAGGTATTTGTGGATAGCCATTTTTCTAAAGATATATGTTTGAAGGTAATTATTTTATGTAGGAAAGGTAAAGGCCTGAAATTTATTTTGTGGGAGTCATAGCTTATTAATAGGGAAGGTTACACTTGTAAATAATAAAATAATCTTAATCTTCCAAGCCTACCTAGGTTGGGAGGTTTTCTTGTGTTTGAGTACTTCCACAATGGGATTCCTTCTACCGGAAACACTTATGTAAGCTCCCCATACTTGATAGTTTCTGTCTTATTCATCAGTATCTGACACTGTAGAAATTTAACATTCACTTCAAAGTGGAGCACTCTTCCAGAGTAATTTATATTTCAAGTGATTCCCTCAGTTCAAGAGAAAGGCGACATGTATAAATTACTATACACATTTTTAGACACTTGTTAAGGAGCTCTAGAAGTGATAAAATACAAATTTAGCTCTAGGCTTGGTAAGAATATGCTTTGACTATTTTGAAAATGAAGAGGGCCTTAGAAAATATCAGAGGTTCCAAAACCAGGAAAAAGGAGTGTAGAAGAAAGTATTCTCATATTTGACTTGTGGCTGATTTAATATAAAAACAGCTTATTAAAAGTAAAGGCTAGAGATGTAGCTCAGTTGTAGAGTATTTGTCTGTCACACACAGGTTCCTGTGTTAATCCCTAGCATCCCTTCCCCAATAGGATCAAAACTAACGGGAAAAATGTGGGATATTTAGTTTCTTCTGAAATCTAAAATGTTACCAAACAGTGTAAAAACAGTATTTTAAAACTATTAGGTAAATATTATATGCATTATATTTTTGGGGAGCTTCAGGCCATTCAAAAATAAAGTAAAAATCAGCAGTCTTTCATTCATCTTAAGAAGAACTAGATTTTTCAAAGACCAGGATTCTGCCTTTTTATTCTAAAAATAGCAAAAGTGTATAACTGTCCATCACGCTTCCTCTCTCAGGCCTTCTCTCTATGTCTCTTCCATCTCCCTGTCCTTTTTCTTTCCTGTTCTCTCTCCACCTCTGCCCACATAATGCCTGAAACAGAAATGGGAAGTTTTTACGGTTTCAGAGAAAAGCCTTAGACCTAAAATACCAAAAGCTGGAATATAGTATATTTACTGTATGTTTTAATTATTCTTTATTGTGATGAAGAGTAAATTTTATGCATTTTAAGATATACTTAGATAAGTCCAGACTTTTTCAATAAACCAGATTTTGTGAAAATTTATCATAAGACTTCCAGAACTTACACCATAACACAAGCATATACTCCACTCTGTATGACATTTAATGTACTTGTCTTAAATATTTCAGTAACTTCGTGAAATTATTCCTTCAGCATTATTTTTTAAATATGTCTTTTCTTTTTCTGTTAGTTGATTGAGTCAACAACCACTATGGATGGAGCCATTGCTGCCGCCTTGCTGATGTTTGGTGATGCAGGTATTCCTCGGCTGCATTTAAGTCATTTGGGTTACTAGTTACATAATAATAATACCTTATTAATGGTCCTTTGCAGTTTACCTAGCACTGTCGTGAATTCTTACAAGAACCCGTGAGGTATTAATAGCTTCAGTTTTTTAGATGAAGAAACTGAAGCTGTAGAAGGGTAAGTAACTTCACCGAGGTCATACAGCTACTTGGGAACCAAACTTGTAGTTTAGTATTTTTTTTGCCTCCCCCAAGAAAGAGAGGGACCAACTTCTCATTGGTAATCCTCTTTGTTTTCTAGGATCAAATCCCATAACAGTGAAATTTTGGAAGGTGTCTCTTGTTCACTTTTAGATATCTTTTCTAATTGCACTGTGGTTTTATTTACAGGTCTACAAACCTGAGTCAGTAGGAACTAATGTTTTGTGGAAAGTCCTTGCTGGTAATCAGCATTCCTTCAATGAGTAAATATTTATGCCATGTTTCAGGCTTCTGATAAGAAAATAAATGCATTTGAAGGAGCTTGCAATACAGAAAAAAAAAAATCTCTCAAGTTTTTAGCATATGCTATCTTGACTTTTTTTGTTAATTCACACATATCCCCCCCAAAAAAATCACCTGTAATCCTAGTACTGAAAAGCATTTAAAGTAAGTAATGAAAATAACCGTATACTCCATTGATTCTTTTTTCCTGTGTTCATACACACTTACAGCGCACATATCCACAAGGGTGTAAAACCTAAGTCACTAATTCATCATGGGCATTTTGTCAGTGCAGTTAGGTATTTGATTATTTTAAATAATTTTATGACAGTTCTCTGTGACTACTCAAAGGGTTAGTTTATTAACTTTTCTTCTTACCACTTGTTTCTATTGTTTGTTTGTTTTTTTGTTTTGTATTTTTCCAGTACCTGAAATGGAACTCATGACCTTGCTCTTGCCAGGCAGGTGCTGTGCTGCTGAGCTAAATCCCCAGCCCTTGTTTCCATTATTAACTCTTTCTACAAAAATCTTTATTTCTGTAGGCTAAATTTTAAGTTCCTCAGAATATATACATTTTTACTTGTTATATGTACTTCTGTTTTTTGTTCATGGTTGTACCAGTTTATGCTTTCATTAACTGTGTATGATGCATACCCCTTTCCCTACCTGTATTTTTCTACT